AACTAATGGGTTTTTCGGGTTTTTAGGCCGTCGTTCGGTAGAATTTCTTCTTGACGTTTCGCAAGCACGAGTGGCTTGCATCTTCAGAAGTGGTTCACTTGAACGCTTACACTGTTCTGATGGTTCATCATTCAAATCGCTTATAGTCTGTTTGTATCTCACATGAACGTTTATTTTTTCTGTGATAAACGCAAATTAAAAAAATTGTAAAAGCTGTGCTCAAAATATTTTTTTATTGCGGTAGTAAAGCTAAAATGCATATTTTTCGGGATTGTTATATTGGATATTTTTCTTACAGTTGACATGGATTACAAGTTTGATGCCCTTGGGAGCATTGGGAGGAGGCATCCTGGGAGGACTTCTGATAGAAAACCTGGGAAGAAAATGGACAATTCTACTTACAGACTTGCTGTTCCTGGTGGCATTTATAGTTAATTATTTTGCACAAAACTACGTCTACATGTACGTGAGCAGAATTATCTCTGGCGTTAGCGTTGGAGTGCTGTCGCTGACATTGCCGGTGTACTTAGCAGAAACTGTGCAGCCAGAAGTACGAGGTACTTTAGGATTACTACCAACTGCGTTCGGCAATATTGGAATATTGTTGTGCTACTTGTTTGGTACCTTTTATGAATGGCAACAACTCGCTCTGGTGGGCGTGGTTCTGTCAATTCCATTTGTGATAGTATTTTGGGTGATAAGAGAAACCCCGAGGTTCCTAATTTCGAGAGGTAAAGAGGAGGAAACGCAGCAAGCGTTGCAGTGGTTGCGCGGACCGAATACGAATATAGAAAAAGAATTCCACGAATTGCAAAAGAGTTATCAGGAAGAAACTGAAACTGACGAGACAGCGTGTGAAAGCTTGAAAGTGCTGTTTTCATTGAATAACTTCAAACTTATGGGCATTGTTTTGGGACTTATGGCATTCCAACAGTGGAGTGGTATTAACGCAGTTATCTTCTATACTACGAAAATATTCAAGGAATCTGGTTCAACTCTGGATGAAACCATATCCACCACAATCGTTGGAGTTGTAAACTTTATCTCCACTTTCATAGCCGCTATCTTTATCGATAAACTTGGAAGGAAAGTATTGCTATATATTTCCGCCGTATCGATGGTGTTATCACTCGGTGTACTTGGAGCTTACTTTTTCCTTAAAGATGCCACTGACATAGACGTAGGATTCTTAGGATTCTTGCCATTGGCCAGTTTTATCGTTTATGTATTGGGATTTTCACTCGGCTTCGGCCCAATTCCTTGGTTGATGATGGGAGAAATTCTACCAGCAAAAATTAGGGGTCCCGCAGCTTCAGTCGCTACTGGATTCAACTGGACATGCACCTTCATAGTTACTAAAATTTTCTTATTGTTGGCGGACGAAATCGGTTTTCACTTTACCTTCTGGATTTTTGGGGCGATCGTATTTCTATCGTTATTGTTCACTATTTTCTTTGTACCAGAAACCAGAGGTCAAAGTTTAGCCGACATCGAAAGAAAGTTGGCTGGCATTAAAGTGAGAAGAATGAGTTCCGTAGCTAATCTAAAACCAATGCCATCTAGTTTCTAAGTAATGTTATATAAATTGACTGATTTACTTTAAGGATTTTATAATAAAATTATTATGAAATGTTTCGCCGTTTTGTAATAATGGTATTGAAAAATACTTTACACGGTAAAATACTATGAATCTCATATAATAAACCCGTTCAATTGTTTCACCAAGAATTTCAAATTATCTCGAACCAGTGCCCGAGACTTCGAATTTGTTTGCTTTAGTTTAGCAATAAATCGTGTTTTGTAGTTTTTAAGTAATTACTGTATATATCACCTATTCAAAGACACTTTTATTTATTATAAATATATTTTTATAGCTAATAAAAATATTTTTTACCAATTACATCTGTAATTTCCTTACACTCCTCATTTTTTTCCACATGATTAATTCGGTGCCGATTATTTAAAAAATCTGCGGTCATTAGTGCGTAAGCTATGCTTCTACATAGTGCCTAGTCCAAAAAGAATTTAAAAAGTCCGCATTTGATTTTGGAAGAAGCTATCAAATGAAGTAAACACTAATCCCTATGCCCTCGACCCTGTGAGAGAGACAAGGGCAACTTTTTTTGAATAGTTTTCTATGTGAAAAAACTATGTAACGTTGATTTAAAGCTATTTTCCGATTACTTTTTCTGTTTTCCTGTTTTGTCTGTTTTTATTCATCTGTACACTTAAATTTTACTTTCGTCCTCTTGTCTTACCGTCAGAATGGTAGAACCACTAGAGGTGAAAAAAGCGATTAATTTGAAAAAAAATGAACTTTTTCGATTAGATTACCATCTGAAAGAATTTCAAATTAAAATTCATAGTTTTTCGTGTAGAACACAAGTGCAAAAATGCTGGCATCTTTCAACTGATCAGATGCGTTTTCAGAATGCGATCAGAAGATATTCAAGTGGTTCCTGGTATAATTCATACCACTTGTAATGAAAAATGAAAGGGTAAAAAAAAAACGTTTGTTAATAAATTCTGTAATTTATGTGCTGAACATAGTGCGTTATATTAATGAAATACAATTTTCTAAACATTTAAACAATCATAAAACTGTCTAACAGTTTGATAAAAATACTTTCTAAATTGACGGATTTGTGTATTGGTAATTCTAATAACAAATATAAATTAAACATCTAAAATAAATATCTCCGTATTAAAATGATTTAAGGATTTTGGCATTGTTTGCAGTCTTCCATGAATTCTTCAAAGTCCTCTATTTGTAGGGTCATTTCAAAGAAATTGAATTTATCGTGAATATTTTTCGTTGCCATCATTAGCACATTTTGCGGATTTGTCCCTGGACCTAGAATTTGAGAAAATTAGTATTTATGGTGTCCTCAGTAATAAAAAAGGAGATATGCTGGCGCTCAATGAGATGAATCAAGTGTTTACAGTGACTAATAAATGTTGATACAATTTTGCTCTTTAAATACTTAAATCTGTTCCAAATAAATAAATAATCCATACTTATTGCTACATGTGCTGACATGGCAATTTTATCCAAACTCAAAGCCCATATCCTCAAATTATGTACTCTCTTAACTCCGTCAATGTTGACCAAGATATTCATCACTTCTTCAAAATCGATTCCCTTAGGCAATGCCTCCATCAAGACCAATAATGCATCTTTTATTATGGCAAATGTGGTAATCATAACAAATATTGAAAACACAAAAGTCATTATAGGATCAACGATTACCCATTGCGGCTGGAACAAAATTATAATGCGGAATTGTGACAAGCGAGAAATTTGCTAACAAACCTTGAAATAGATTACAATAGCGGCTACTAGCACTCCAAAACTCTGCAAAAAGTCACCTATAACATGTATAAAAGCTGCTCTAACATTAATATTCTGCGTTTCCTCTTTTTTGCCCTTTTCGAGATCATGTTCGCTACCGCCATGGCTATGGCCATGCTGATGAAGCGATAAGCCCATGCTGAAAAACGACGACGTGCAACTACATTTCGTGATTTAACTTTTAAAACAATCTGGTAAAATTAGTGGTGACATTAATTGCAAAACTCTGATGTTCTTTTAGTGCTCAATATTCAGGGTGTTCCATCACATGAGTAGGGAAACAAATGAGGATAAATTGGCCGATTTACGGTTGCAGAGATACTAATTAAATTTGATACGTAGGTATATTGACATTTAAATTAGCTTTCTGATGCAAATGCCAGGAAGTAGCTGTTTCTAATGGCCAAGGCAAATAAGAAAGAACGATGCGGAAGTAATTTTTCGACTTGCGATAAATGTCGCTTGCTTTGGATCCTTTCATGCAAAATCTTGCCTGTTTTTTTCATTAATATTTCAATCGCGGTATACTCACATTATATTAACAGCAACTCCAATTCCAGAAGTGATCAGCATCACAGTTGCATCGATGTCGAAATTTTGATAAATTATCCTCTGAATAGCCATGTAGACTAAAATTCCCGTAATAACCCAAATGAGTAACACGGATGTTAAAGCGCCAATAACTTCGGCTCGGTACCACCCAAACAGCATTTTTTTCGTTTTCGGTTTGTTAGCCATATACAAAGCAAACAGGGAAATCATAAAACTGGCAAAATCGGTTAATAAATGAGCGGCATCTGAAGCTATTGCTAAGCTGTTTGATATGTAACCACCTAAAATTCAAAGTACGTTTGTTAGTTAATTCAGCTTCTTTGCAAAGGGCGTAGTTGATTACGAACTGAATACATGTTTTTGTTATATGCACTGTGCCAACTTGGATGTTGGCTTTTTGATTGATATTTTGCATTATTATAATGTAAAGCTGAGTGTGATGCAATGGTCGTCAAAAAACAATGAAAATCTTATTTAGCCTTAATGCAAGCTGTGTAGTTTCAGCACGTTTGTCTGCCAAATCAATGATCGGTTAATGACAATTTAATACAATTAAGTGAAATTTAATGATAAATACGCTTTTACGTGTCGGTTTACATTTTGATATTACTCATTTGCTTAGTATTTTAATTGACATTCAGATTTATGTTCTTTGTATGATCATACTCAATTTTCCACTAACACAATTAATTTTTTTGCAGCTGCATATTTAAGACACTAATTAATACATACCAACAATTTCGGCAATCATAAATATTACACATAGAATACTGGCAATAATGAGTTTTTTTCTGGCCCTTCTGTCTACCTCTGGCTCATCAGATAGGTGACAGTGTTTGTTAACTGGAAAAAATCAATGAATAGTAACATTGGGAATAAATATATATTATACATTTGATCGCTTAAAACCCAACATACTTAATAGCGTAATATGTAATATACCCAGAGTTGCGGTTCTGAAGGATCAATAAAAACTACTTTTAACAAAGAAACTTTGTAATGGGAGAGTATTGATAGACTCAAAGTATGAACTTGGGTCGAAGGCATTTGCTATAAACATCAATGCTAAAGCATCAATATATCAATTGCAATTCAGTTCTGAATTTACTTTTAAAAATGGTCGAGTCTATGGAGCTTCTTTATTTATGCCTGCCAAGTTTGCGCAAATTTAATTTCATAAAATATTTCCAAAACTTGTTGCTTAAAAAAAAACGTGTGAAAAATTGAACGTTTACAGCCGTATTCAAGCGAACTGTATGCCAAGTCACCAGATAATCGAACCGGAATTAAATGTAGGTAGGTATGTTAGATTAAATAAAATTAGTGAATAACTACCCAATTCCGAAGTGTCGACATTTTCCTTAGCAAGGGAAGTTATGGAATTGCTCTGGGGTTCATTGTCCATAACTTCCCCTTCTAATACTCTGCAGCACCCCTCGCTGGGTTTACCATGGACACAGTAAATAACTCTTCTTGGAGATGTTAGACTAGGGATTCTTTCGCTTCTGCCCTCGACGGTTCCATAGTTGTTGTTACGAGTAACACCACTGGAATATACAGTAATTTGGTTAGCCATATTTTTTTGCAGTAATTTCACACTTACTTGATATTAATTTTCTCTTGGTTATTATACATACTGAACGGGTAATATTTACACTATTGCGTTGAAATGTTAAACCCTAAGCACATATTTTATTTAGCTCAAAGATTTGTTCTTACTACAACGACACAGTACGTGCACTCGAACCCACAGTGACACGAATGTTATTTATTTCAAATATTTCACAAAACTTTTAAAAACACGCATAATCTTTCCAGGTGGAACTCAACAATACGTCTTTAAATAAACAAGCATGAACAAATAGTAATACATTTATTTCGCTAGTTGAATCCGAATAAGAATTGTATTAAAATGTCCAAAGGCTGAATGGTACTTGAAGATAACACGAGCAAAATAAATAGTCTCTGTCGGTCTTGCACTTTTCTTTAACATTTCATTCTTATCAACGGGGACAGCAGCAAACAATGATATATCCAAATCTACAATAATTAATATATCTAGACTTTAGATTTAAGTCAATGAACTTAAAATTAATTAGCCCTCACGAATATTGATATTCTTTTTATTTATCATTATCTCCTCCCAATGCAAATTAATTAAAAATGCACATGCAAAAGACAATTTTTTTCGCATTAAGATAAGTTGAGGGTATGTTTTGTTGAAACTGATACTAAAAATTGCGCTTCTAAAAATGCTGCATTGAGGTACACATTTGTAACGTGTGCAAGAGTATACGATATAAGATAGCAAACAAATAACGTTAGACTTTGCCTGCAATTAGATGTAATTAAATAAGCTTTAATAGAACTTGTAAAGTAAAGAATGATGTAAGCAAAAATCAAACATAAAGATCAATTTTCGAATCGCAAGTTATACACGGGTAAACGACTCCAGTTAAGAACATTAATATTGAAAAAATCTGATATATTTTGCAAAAGCCGATCGATTTTCCAGAAATTTAAATAAATAATAAATACCTAGTCCTACAGTCCGTCGAAGCAATAAGAATGAACGAGTAAATTCAAGCTGATACTTCTATATCTATACGCACAAGGTTCTCCACATTGTGCCGGGTTCTTGAATCGAAAATACGCGCTCTTGATAACGTTTTTCACAAGCATGAGACTAGATACGAACTGGCGTTTTAGGAACAAAGCAAATGTGCTATGGTTATCTATATCTTTAGTCCGTCAATGTCGAGGTTTACAGCAGAAATATTTGCTTGAATATCAAAATTTTCTAAAGAAAAGATTAGTTCTTGGATTACAGTGGGAAAAAAATTAGAATGGTCGCAAATGTAACTTGCGAATTGTTCGTGCTTTTAGACCAATTCATTTCTTCCAGACGTTTTGCAAGCGCGAATGGCTTTCATCCTCAGAGGTCCTTTCGCTGAAAGCTTACACTGGACTGAGAGTACTTCAGTTTTAACAATTCTTCTGAGGATGCGAGCCACTCGTGCTTGCGAAACATTTCTACGACGGCTTATAAGCCCGAAAAACTCGCTAGTTGCATAGGCCGCAAAAGCCTATTGTGATGGTCGCAGATGTTTCATAAATTTTAAATAAGGAGCACAAATTAGCTGCAATCTTTGTTTCTAGCTGAAACGTTATATTTAGAATTTGTATATTTAGTTATTGTTAAAAACTCTATAAAAGCAAAAATATCTTTGTCTAGTTTTAAATTCTCGTCTACACAGCACAGCCTAATACATCAACTAAAAGGTCAAAAAATCCAAATAGCCGCCTAAAATAAAAAAAAATGAGAAGATTGTGTGATAAGGGTTGTATACAGCGGCGACTGACGCATAACCGCTCCTATAGAAAGAGAGAGAGAGGGATATACTACTTTCATTTTTCCTCTGATCCCCTAAACTAGCCGGTTTTGTAGTTTTTATAAATTAAAGCAAAATGCGTTATATCAAAGAAACATACTTTAAAAATTGCGCTTAAAATGCCACCAAAAATAATCCAAAACTATTACTTAAATCGATCAACAATTAATCAAATCAATCCTTTCGCAAATCCCAAATTATCGTAAAGTTGTTCAAAACATTTTAGAAACTTCCAACGGCCAAATCTATCGATACAGCTTGAAGTGCACACAGCTCTAGTACCTGTTTCCTTCAACCTTGCTCATTGACTTGAGACAAGTGGCAGATGGCATTGTTAAAAAAAAAGTACACAAAGGGTGGCTTTTAAATTGGGTTTTATTTTTATTGTTCTCTACAACTTGCTTCGATTCTGATTAAGTGAAATTCGAATGTTCCTGTAGTTGCATGTCCAGAGGGCAACATGGTAGTAAAATTAATTTGTAGACAAAAGTAGTTTTATATCCACAGGAAGCAGTATTTACTGAAACCCTTATGTCATGGGATTTTGTAGCAGAAGGCATTTATTCCTTACTTTATGTATTTTTCAACTGGTAAGTCTTTGTGCGAACTTATTTCCAGGTTCAGAACATGTTTCATTTTCATTCGTTTCAGTTGACTGTTGTCCAAAGACAGGTCTTTGACTTCTTGGGCTTCCTTTGGGTGCCCATACTAGTCAACTTTTTCCAAATAATTTTAATTATCTTTGGATTTTTCGGGGCATACCAATATCGACCAAAATATGTTATAGCAGTAAGTTATCTAATGTACTTCCTAAGATAAGTTAATTCAATTTTAATGACTTTGCAGTACCTTCTTTGGCATCTTTTTTGGATAGGATGGAACATTTTTTTGATATGCCTGTACTTAAATGTCTCTGGACTTGATCACGAAGTAAGTAAACTCCTAGATAATGAGTATATGACTCAATAGGATAAAAATTACAAGGCAGATATCAATCAACCTAATTTTTATTGATCATCTAAAGTTATCTTGTTTGTACCTTTACTAAAATAACCAGGTATTACTCATTTTTTATATTATTTCAGACCAACAAGGTGATTAAGTTAGATCAAACAAGTGGCAGCTGGTGGAAGAAGCATGGGCCTGGATGCAAGGTGGTCAATGTAGAAGAACCTGAATATGAAGGATGTTTGATTGATTATATTCATGTTGAGATATTCCAATCCGGCTTACAAGTTGTACTAGCAGTAAGTCCATATAATTTCTTAAAAGATACGTCAAATTTTAGAGTTTCTAAAGAGCAAATGTTTGAAAGCCTGGCTTTTTTTGTCATCAGCTAAAGTATAAAATGTTTGTTTCAGGTGATTAATAGCATTATCGGAATTTGCCTCAACAGAACATTTTTGGAAGAAGATGATACTTGTAAGTACAACTCGCTGTAAAACGTTGAGGTAGTAAAGAGAACACTTTATACTAACTTGCTCGAAATTTAACCATTTCCAAATTCTTTAAAAAACACGTTTAACTTAATTAAATCTCAAATGCAAGTTACGAAAAATTCAGAGAATAAGCCGATACATCTTGTAGTACACAAGTAGTGTTGATAAAAGGTATAATCTTGAATATACCTACAATAAACCTGTGCTTGCAGTTGATTTCATTGGTGGATTTGATCCGCAAACCATTTGGTAAGTGGTGAATGGGAATGCACTTTTATATATTATTTTAGACTTTTGGTATGGTGTCACAATTTTCACTTTCCTGCCTTAGTAAATAATTTTCATATTGTTTGTAAAATAAACCACTAGCATGCGTAACAATTAATTAAATTTAATTATCAGTTGTAGTTGTAGAGTAAGTGGTTTATTTTGCTGGCATGTCTAATTCACATCAGCTATCGCTAGTATCTTTATTTTCAGTTAATTTCGAGAAAGCAGACAGGCCTGATAATTTTCTATTACATCCGATGTATGTGAGCTACAGTGGCACTTTGCATGGTTCCAATAAATACTTGCACCCTAAAACTAAACGAGCTGACAATTATAACCCGTATAATTATGAGTTGACGCGATCTAAAAAAATTAACAATCGTGTGAATGCCGACGCAGTTAGATTTCCGGCGAGACGAAGTAACTCATTTAGTGCTCTTGTGTCGACTACAAAGTCCAAAAAGGCGAGACCCCAATCTTTGTGTGCCAATGCTTGCCCTGCTGATGATCTTGACTAGTTTGAGTACTCTTCAATATATGAGACTATATTGAAGCTTGTGCCTTGATCATTTGCCCTTAAATTGCTTGTATTGAAAAGTATTGTTTTCATTGATTTAGAAATTTAATGTGAATGCTTTAACGTTTTGTTTATTTTGCTTGCTTTGCTGCTTCCAGATTTTTTGTACATACTAACAGTTTTTTATTTATTGCTTACTGCTGTCCGTATCGCATATAGCTAATTATAATTGCAACAAAATATTCGTCATTATTTTGAATACTTATAACTGGCTTCTTAATGTCCTGATTGTATCCAATATTTGCTTAACGGCAAGCTATATGTACTATGGTCTCTGATTACAACCCCTGTATTTATTATGGAGTTTATACCGGCTGATCCAGGATGTTTCCTAACAGTGTGCTTTTTATAACGATAATTTACCCTGTGGGGAGGTACTCTGATATGGTGATCTGAATTAATATAATTTTGAGTTGCAAGCAGTACTCGTGCCAGATTTTTTTATACGAGTAACTGACTTAATTGCCTTTTCTAATGAGCGCGATGTGATTTTGAAATTAAATGAAATGCAATACATTAAAAAAGTTTTTATTTTATCTTAAAGCACCGTCGATAACATTTATCTTTTGTCCAACAGATCGTTTAAATGTTCACTTCATTTTCGAAAAAACGGCCCCACAATGCGAAGAACCGTACCATAAATTCCACCAATTTAGCTGATGGAAATACTTTGCGTGAAGCTTTTACGCTTATTTTCAGCATATCTGGTCTGATAATTTTTTTTCGCAAAATTATAATCCCTTTTCAGTTGTTTTGTTCAAGTTTCAGTGTTGGTTCTAAGAGCAAATTCTCAGCGCCGACTATCATCAGTTCTTGCGCCAGCACAATGCGGTTCGAATGTAAATTCACTTGATTTTAAAAACATTACCTGTTGAGCACGACGGGAAATTGTTAAATTTGGATCTTCTGTATTAATATTTTTGGGAATATTTGCTGTTTTTGCATCGAAAGAAGTATGTTTTTATCTTTTCCGAACGATATGGCGAATGCGAATATTTAGACTAAAGTTTTCGCAAAATGTTTACAAACACGAACGTTTATTTTCATAAAACTGTTAATAATTACTCCACGTGTTTAAAGCGTTTAATAAATTATTACTATTGCTTAAATATAAATTTCAGCAAAAGCCCTTGTCCGAAATCCGATTGTTATCAATTTGTGCAAACTGTCCATTCACCATTCCGTCAATGTAACAAAAGAAGGCCATAGTACATTTCAGCAGGTGTAAATGTTGTTATTAAATGTATTTCCTTCCATTTTAACAGCGTCACATAAATCATCGCGCAAAAGCTCAAAGCAACGAATGTCACTGTACTCAATAGAATTCAGTTCTCAACTGGATCCTAGACATGGGGATAGTGACAACGAATTCGAACATATACCCTCATCGCCTAAACCAATGACACCCCGCCGCGTGAAACGAAGAAGCGTAATGCAGAGAGGTTCATCCGGAAGACACAGCACGACCAGTCGAAGACAATCTCATTCCAGATCGTCAACGCGTAGCTCTAGAAGGACTCAAAATCCTGTTACTAAATTACTAGAGCAACAGCAGAAATGCCAAGCATATGAAAGTACTACCAGCCAGTCGCCGGTTGAATCACCGATGCCGAATTATTATATGAATGCCCCTAACACTATCAGTGCGCAAAACTGGCAAGGGCCAGTAGGACATACAAATCCTTCTTACCAACAATCAACCACATCTCTTAACGAAGACTTTGATGATATTTACACTACTAGGCCCGCTTCGGTCAGGTCGAGTTACTCAAACTTTCATGGTGCTAGAGCGAATTACTCGCCTCCAAAACAATATCATCACAGTCATGCCACTCCTCAGGTGCCCCAAAAAAGGGGAAATCCCGCTAGAAGTAGTATGAGAAATATGACTTTCTTAAATAGCGGTCCTCCGGCTTATACAGTACAGGGTGCAATGTCAATGGACAATGAAACCCCAATGTAATCTATAAGAGTGAAGCTACGCTTTGCATTAGGCGATGTAGAATATTGGTATTTATTTTGCTCGCAATCAACGATCATAGGACGGGTATTATTTTTTTGACGCTTGCCACATAATGGACTTCAAACATTGTATGCCTTAATCTCAGTACTTGCAAATGGAAATATTGGGTAATTGATCCACGAAGCAATTGCAAAGCTTCGCCAGGTTTAAGATAAGTTTAAGCAAATTTTTTGTATATTTACAAAACAGTTTTGCAGATGTTCTTATTTTACGAGGAGTGAAACAAAAGTTAATTTTTTAACAAAACGTCGGTACGGCCCAAAATGTGTACAAACTATTGTAGATGTTTTGTAAGTAAATGGAGGTCAGGCTTCCATGCAATAGATGTAATCGCGGAGTATGATGTAAAAGTTATTTAATATTCACAGCATACGAGCAAAATGTTCCAATTGAATGGACGATATGGACGATGTTATGTATAGTATTTAACTTCTGAATAGAGCACTATATTAGTCTCGTATTCGCAATACTATCTTGGTTTATCGTATCAGAAAATTTGAGTTATGCTCTTTTTGTACATACATTTTAGCATAGATTACTCGCAGTGCGTTGTTGCTTATAAAATCAAAATAAGTGTAATATGTCATAGTAATTATTTATTGATTGCATATACAAGGAGCTTTTTAGTTGTTTAATTTTTAAGGCTTGTTTAAGTTATTGTTCTAAATGTTGCGTAGCTTATAATCTTAGCCTGTTTTGTCATTGTGATATTTAGCTAATGTTTAAGATTTTGATGATGGCAATATTTGGATTTAAGATACTTAAACGAATTGCTTTTGAACTTGGAAGACTGCAATCAGCTCAAAAATAGGTATTTTTAGAATTTCTCTTCACTTTATATTCACATATCTTTGTTCATATCAATAGCGACAATAAAATATACATTTTCATATATTATTAGAACCATTCGATTGATCCATAATGTTTACCGAATTGGTTATTGCTAGCAAACTGAACATTTTGAGTATGCAAGTACAAACATTAGATACCTTGTGTTCACAAGCATTGATTTTCTGTGTAAATATCTTTTAATTTTAAGAATCTTTTTACCAAAGTATTACCTAAAATCTATTTTACTACTTAAATGTATATTTACATATACATCGACGTAAGGTCAATATACACATACCTGACATCTTCTTGTTTCATTATTTTTTCACCAAATTTACGCAAAACTCCGGAAACGAACTGAACGGATCCGTCTTTTGCAGACATCTAACGCAACGCGCCTAAGTTAATGCGATCTACAGCTTCTCAGCTTAAACTAAAATCAGATCTTTAGAAGGACGATCTTTTATATTAAAAATCAACTACACCGTTTACAGTTAGGGCTACGCAAATTGAAGGATTATATTAGACCCAATTTTAATTGGCATAATTAACCATTAAGTATAATCGGTACTATTTATCTCTCCGACAAATTGAATTTTATTTAATTAATTTCTATACAAATATTGCGGTTGCGGTGTTAATTTTCTCAAATGTAAATCATACCTACACAATTGGATGACCAAATATTGAGTTTATCAATAATGGAAGTTGTTTTCAACTGAAAATGTAAAAAAGTGAACTCTAATGAAGGACAGGTGCATTTGATTTCGATGGAAAACTGCGTATGCATTTTTCATCATTAAAAAGTGTGTTTTGGGTTTTTGATTTTTTTTGCTTCATTGGCTTAAAAAATCCTCCAAATAGTTCAGACCTTGACACCCGAAAATTACTTTTTCAATCAATTATCCGAAAATTCATATTAAATGGCAGAAATCGCCCAATTTTGGTGAGTTTTATTAAAGTCACTTGCACGTTATGAGGTAAACCGATCTGGGTCAAGTGCACCGCAACCACAATGGGTATCGCCCCATAATTAATCAATGGGTTCATGTAACCCTCAGGTGAACCTTCTAGAACATTAGAACATCCAATGCAGACTTCCTGACTCGCAGAACTCGAATTAGGATTGAATTAATTGCATCGCAGATTGATCAAAAATTCAAATGATTTTGGACGAGGGACGGATAATTTCCAACAAACCCCATCATCCGCAATAAATTCTTTTCTCCTCAGAAGACCGAATATATACAGAAACCTTCAAATCAATGCTAACGTTTTTCTAGACTCCAATTATTAAATGATTTTGTTTGCTGTATTTCCAATATAGCTGTACCTAGTTGCCAATTTCCTGACGCAAAATTGTGTAATTGAATTGTACTCGGCCAGGCATCCCAAGAACAAGAACTATTGGCTAAATTCTTTTTTCTATATGGGTTACTTCCAATCGCAGTTTCCTAATCATTAGAAGACAATTTTAAGGACGTCGAACGGTGCATATACGGGATAATTGAAATGGCCTGTATCAAATAGCTAGAGATTTTAATTTATTTAAAAAATGATCTGCAAGAAAAGATGATTTTTTGAAGTCTTCGAAATGGCGAGACTTGACTAGCACTTGAGACGAATTCATGACACCTAAGTGCGAAATTTGAAGATAAGTAGTCCGATAGCAATGCCGACATTTGCTTTGAGATGGATATTCCCAAAACAACCTCGTGTTTGGAACCGCGTCGGCGTGATAGCATTTAAAACATCCCAAAATAAAATCGATTACCGGCAAAATGAAAAGTATCGTCGCTGCAGGCTTTTTGTCCTCAATTTTCAAAAATTCAGAACCATTTAAAACACTTACATCAATTAAACATGTACGGTTTTTCAGTTCCGGATTCAAATGTAGCGATTCGACACAGGTAAGTTGTATTGATGATTTTATTGCATCCCCTAACAGGCCCAAATGGACTTTCTCTTTCAGCAGCAAATTCAGCATGAAAACTACAGGCAAAGGTAGGGTTTTCCATTATTTTAATTTCCTTTTTTGATTAATTTTTTTTAAACATTGCAGACGAAGCTATTCATTTATCCATGACACAAATTACTTATGTTTGTAAGTTTTTGTTACATCTTGTGCATTATGAGCGATTATTGAAATTTATTTAGGGGAGACAATTTGCGCACTGACGAAGTCTTATTCGAAATGTTCAAAAATGAGGAAACTGGTCTTTTGCCAATAGGAAAATTTCTCAATGTACGTACTTGTATCGCAATATTTGCATAGAGTTTCATGTGACTCACTTCTGTAGGCATTACGAGCAACAGGACTAAGGAAAACGGATCCCAGATTGAAAGAAATGGTTGATATTTTAAAAATGATGTCCAAAGGCACAACGGATGGTTATTCCATTGATACCCAGAAGTTAAATTTGAATGATTTTAAGAGGTACGGTAGCAACGAGATAAGCAGTTTAGTGCAAAGTCGACTACCAGCAATTACACACAGTGATCATACTCTTATCACCACAGATTCCGTTAGAAATTATTTACGCAATATTGGGTTACCTTTATTTTTTCGGTGGAAGGTTATCTTCAATGATTTTTTGACCGGAATTTAGATAATGAAAAGCTAATTGAAATCGTCGTTCCTGAAAAACCACAACATTTGAGCATTGCGACTGAAGTAATGACGGGCAAAATATCTGAGAGAATCCAAACCAATTTTTTAACTGTGCCGGTCGCTATGCGATATTTGCTCCTAAAAATAGCCAGTGAAAAGGACATTCATTTAAAAAACTATATAAAAAGAACAAATTTCAAGAAAGTAAATTGATTAAGATATGTATAGGCATATTGGAGATAAGCATTTGTTAATAGAGTATTTAACAATAAAATTATGCTGTGAATAGTAATTATGATATTCTTATCTTTCCTGGGTCTCAGTCAAAGTGTGAAGTAAAAATTTTTTGAATATCATTTATTTTATTACGTTTCGGCGAGACAACAACGCCATCATCAGACTTAAAATTTACACAAACTCATGATTGGTAAAAATCAACGCTCTTTTAGGTCTTTGCCTTCTTGAAACCTTAAATTTGTCTTTTTTTGACAAGACAGACAAGACAAATTTAAGGTTTCAAGAAAGCAAAGACCTAAAAGAACGTTGATTTTTACCAATCATGAGTTTGTGTAAATTTTAAGTCTGATGATGGCGCTGTTGTCTCGCAGAAACGTAATGAAATAAACGATATTCAAAACAATTTTACTTCACACTTTGACTGAGACCCAGGAAAGATAAGAATATAATAACAAGTACACGCAGTCAGGAAAATAAATCAGAATAAGTCACATTGAATTCCATTCCAAGACCCGTCGAGTATTTTTTTTTAATTTCAAACCCTGCGCGGGTTTTTTTATGGTTTTAAATTTTTAAACGCGCCGCCAAATTTCACGCAACGATCCGGATGCAACTTGTAATTGATTTATTTAATCATTGAATTGTTGCTACACGTTCAGTTATTAATTTTTGTAATTAGTTTTTCGTGCGCAAAAAATACATTATTCGTTAATTAACATTGTTTTTATTTAACTTAATACCCAACAGCAGCGAGAACAAATTAATCTCGCTATCGGCAAAAAATTGCTAATTTAACGCATAAAAGAGCTGAAAAAATTTAGAGCATAAACACAGTTCAAGTAATGTCATCAACGTTAGACGCGGTTCTTAAAAAATACAACATTTAAAATACCTTTAATCCTTTTCTTAAATTCAGGGGTAAATAGACGAAATGCGTTTACTTTGAAAAATACAAAATTTTACATTTCTGCAAAACGGTTTCATAAGTTTTGATGAAACTTTGTAGGTATTGAAGGATGTAAGAGGTGTTTATTTTCAATGTTATTGGATTTTTGAAGCATAAAATGAAAGAATAAAATGCATCTTAATTGATTGTTGAATTCTGAAGAAAAGAGCACTCTGTTACTTTTTTTCCGTTTTTTCAAACTTTTTCCCGAAAAACACCGGAACTTTTGCGTACCCATGGATGTTGGCATTTATTCATGTTTGGACAAGGTCTATTTACTCCTGAATTTACGATACTTTTTTCTGAGACATGCTCTTGTTGGTATTGTTCTGGACTAAATATAAAAAACACTTTTTGAAACAAAAACTGGATTTTCAGCATAATAGCTCCAAATATCGGCCTAATTTCAAGAGCATTTAGACGGCAGTTTATCATACCAGAATTCCAGGATTTCTGCAAAGACATTGAAGAGATCTACTGGAAATGTAAAGATAACACCAAAGGAAAAGTAGAATTTTCAACAGTTGGCACAGATCGGCGGTTTTAACGTGATAATTGCAGGTGGCCTCGTATATACCACAACTGAAAAGAATGAGTGCCAATTATTGGGGAGTGAGCATATGCACAATAGATGGGCAAAGATTCTCTGTTGGAGACGTTTCCATTCCATTCACAATACAATCGTGCAGTAAACCACTAACTTATGGAATCGCTTTGGATTTGTTGGGTTCTGAAGTGGTTCACAAATATGTGGGACAAGAACCAAGCGGTCGAAATTTCAACGAACTGATCCTAGACCACAATAGTGAGTTCTTGAATAATTTGGTATGTTAGTGGAATTAGTGGAATGGGTTGTATTTTCCAGAAAAACCTCACAACCCGATGATTAACGCTGGAGCCATAATTGTGTGCGCCTTACTCAAAACTGTAGTCGGACCAGAAATGAGTTTAGCCGAAAAATTTGATTTCACAATGAATTATTTTGAGGTACTTGCTAAAGTGGGCTGACACCTTTTCTTAAGATCCCGAAACAAAGTTTGCTATACGTTTTAGAACCTTGTTAATATTCGAAATGTGTTTTCGATAGCGTTTGGCAGGGAATGAAGACTTGGGATTTAATAACGCCGTTTTCCTCTCCGAACGTGAATGTGCCGACCGAAATTATGCCCTGGGATTCTACATGAGGGAGCATAAATGCTTCCCAGCCACCTGCAAGTTGAAGGAATGCATGGATTTCTATTTCCAAGTAAGCGAAATCGCGGAACAAAACAAATTTCATTTTCCATACATTTCTTTGCAGTGTTGTTCTTTGGAAGCATCTTGCGATCAGCTATCAGTTATCGGGTCCACTTTAGCTAATGGAGGCATTTGTCCACTGTCCGAAGAAAAGGTTTTGAAGCCGGAAAGTGTTCGAGATGTCCTCTCTTTGATGCATAGTTGCGGAATGTATGACTATTCGGGGCAGTTTGCCTTCAAGGTAAAAACAAGCGTGTGCATAATAAAGAATTTTTTTTTGATTGAGCTTTGATTGAGTTTTTAACGATTTCTTTAGGTAGGAGTTCCAACAAAATCCGGCGTAAGCGGGGCACTTTTAGTGGTAATACCCAACGTTATGGGCATTTGTCTGTGGTCTCCTCCTTTAGATGCTCTGGGAAACAGCTGCAGAGGAGTGCAGTTTTGTGAGGTAGATATTAAACCAAAGCCAAAGCCAATTGAAGAAATTAACACAAGTTCGGCGCTAGGAACTCATCAAAAAATTCAACTTCCATCGCTACGACAATCTGAAGCACGCACCGAACAAAATAGATCCGAGGAAGCATAAGTTCGAAACCAAAGGACTAAATGTGGTGAATTTACTCTTCTCCGCTGCTGCTGGAGATCTACCAGGATTACGAAGGTAGTTTCAAGGAAACCAGCGAAAAAGACTAGAAATAATCCACGACTATTCTTTCAGGCATATGTTGAATGGAATGGACATGAGCCTTCCAGACTATGATGGCAGAACTGCTTTGCACTTGGCAGCAGCAGAAGGCCACATAAATTGTGTGGAGTTTCTGCTGAAACAGTGCCGGGTGCCTTACGATATGAGAGATAGATGGGGAAAAACTCCTTTGGAAGAAGCTCTCACCTTCGGACACACTGCAGTCATTGAACTCATGCAGCTTTGGGATGAACAAGTCACAAGAAACGCTCCTGAAGAAGAGGACCCTCCGATTCCAGGCATGGCCTAAGGGAAACTATTCGTTCCGATCTGAACTAGTCAATTAGATTATTTATTTATTTTAATTGTAGGTGAGGCTTTATGTTAAGAATCGATTGTACAAATCTTATTTTTACTGCAGAGGTTCTAGGGCGGGAGCCCAAAAAGTATTAAGGCGCAATAAAAATATTTATCACCCATTTCGATGGCAATACAAAGCGATTTGTGATATTAGTTCGACTTTTTGACAATACTGTATTTCTAAGTTACTTATTTCCAACATGCCTGATTTGTTATATCATTGACAATAAATGAAATGTCCGTATATGCTTTAAATTGCTGCTATTTTATTTCCCCAGTCAAGTGCGTGATTCATATAATGGATGGGTTGAAAATCGGAACTGTTTGCGCTTTTTTGTTTAACTGAACCACGTATTGAATCATTGCATAATTCAGAGCAAAAATCAGTTCTATTTAGTTTTAACGATGATCGATTTTATTTTATATTGTAGTAATCGGCTTTTTGCGAGGTTTCCGTTATTTTGCACGCGTATACTATCGGTAATATACATGCAACCCCCGAAATTTCTCTTAAAACTGAATTCAATTTAGCATGGCTTTCAGCTTTATAGATCGAGTTTCCTACATGTAAGCACAGCTAATTTAATGATGTATCCAAGAAATTTTATCCATTTATAATTCAAGCTCGCTCTAAACGGATTGGATCTCTTGGGGACGATCATGCGGGTTATTCAAGCCTTCTACAATTAGTGAAATTTTCGGTAAAAATGGAATATTATCTTAAGCTGCCTCCGATTTTTAAATTCCACAAAAAATGTATTGAATTAGGATCTAACATTAAAATTAGGGATGTTAGTTCGTTAGGCCAGACCAAACAAATACCAGTTGCTATATTTACCAATATATTTCTTTCCACGTATCATTCGTTCAAGTTGATTACTTAGTTGGCCCAACCTTTATAACTTAATAAAAGTTGTATATTTACTGAAATGCCCACAAGTTGGTTCATTGCTGAATACAATCTATAAAACGGACGGTCTCAACTGTAGGTGCAAGTAAAGCAGTTACTCTAACCAATGGAATATGTAAAGGAGTTTCAAAATGAAAACTTGTCAGGATCTAAAGTGTGATCAAATCAAATTATTGGAAATCTGAAACGGTTAATGTAGAAGACAACGTGTAAACGAGGCATTTATTTGAAGTTCCTATAAAGGAGAATTTGGGGAACTTTAGAAATTTTCTGTTTCCAACTCACACCCCTTTTAACTCGAAGCAGTTGCTTCGAACTGAATGTTTCGCTTCTGCAATATTTTGCTCAATTATAGAACGACGAAGGAAATTAGACGCTCAGATAGCTGCGGTACTTTACCAGATTGAAATAATTTGTGTTTGGAGAAGGTTTTAGTAAATACTATAAAACTGCCTCCTAGCGCCTATTTATTCCTAGTTTCCAAATTTGGCTGATAAAAATATTAATTTAGGTACTTTGGCAATCCGACATAAGACAGTGTGAGAGTTTCTAAAAAAATTAAAGGAACTGCTTCTAAAAAAAAATTAAATGCGCAGCCATAAATAATAAAATAAGCCTACAGCGTAAATTTTATGATTGCTTCATAGGCGACCAAATGTTTTCTGGCTTCACCTCCTACACCAGAGAGTGAGAACATTAAACAATCTTGCAATTAATCAAAAAAAGGATTTTCTTAAAGTTAATATTATCTCCGTTATCAAAAGGTTTCTTTTGTAATTAGTTGGAGCAGCGGGGGTGCGCATCATCCCCAACGTATAAATGTGGGGTTTTTCACTGATAACTTCACTCGAACCTTGCAACTTCTCTGAACAATTTCAACCGTTTCAGACGCGAATTTTTCAAAATGATCCGACAACTTGCATTTTTTGCCGCTTTGGTATTTGTCAGTTTTTGCGCTGCTCAAGTCAACTTTTCGCCAAATTGGGGAAAACGAGCTCTCAACAACCCGTCCGAAGACACTGAGAATGGCTGCAAGGAGTCTGTGGATACCCTCATATATATTTACAAACTGATACAGGTATGTAACCGAACTTTCTCGATTTTTGCGTATATTTTCCTTCATTCATTCAGCAAGTTTGTCTTTGGAATTTTACTTTTATTTAGACTTTTTTTCGCAACGTTAAACCCATTTTCCTCGTTGTTCTTTAAAAACATTCGAGATGAAACCGCTGAAAAAAACATTTTATTGTGCGTCTATACTCAGTAGGTAATATATTTAGCAAAAAGGCAAGAAAATAAGCATCTTTGTGGTTTTCTTTTTGAACGTTCTCTAGATGGTTTTATTTATTGCATTTATTACAAGCACGGTTTTGTTGTCATATTGGATTATCCCTCACAGCAACCACTTTAACCAGTTAATAATGAAGGCTAAACATATTTATTTGAAACCCAAGAGACTTTAATCGTTCCAGGATAAATACTCAAAACGTGCTTTCGATTTACTCATTGCAATATTTACTCTGTTAGAATACATTTCTTCAACCGCATTAAGTCGAGTTTTAAATTTCCTAAAGTCTTATATGTATATTTATTTTGTTATGCGTGATTGATTCAAGGAAATGTAAGTTAAGGGCTGAAAATTTACAGTATTTGTCTGTTTGAGATTTTATCTTCATTCAAATATTAAACCTTCTTCACTTAAGAGACCGATTGTGAGGCAGAAAAACGCGCAAGTTTCAATTATACACTATCTAAATTGTAGATACCCTAGCAAATGTAATTGTCGCTCGGACCATCCAGCACCTAATTTTGAGTAAAAGACGAATGGTATACTTATTGGACGTTTTTTTAATTCTCAATTAATCATTGTTTGACCATTTGGAAGATAAATAGTTCAATTTCAAACGTTTGAAATTGAATATTAATTGATATTAATCTGTTAACAATGAGAAATAGCTGTAATGTGAGAGTTGGCATTGAAAACCCTAAACATTTTGGATTTTAGTATGTAAACAGCAAGCCGTATTACATATTATTCACTTAACATAATGGGTTTGCTCGAATGCAAGTCCGATAATCTCTAAAATGCATAACAAGGTCAGTTACAACATCGTTTGCCAAAACTCTGCAAATTTATGTAACTAGCAAATAAGTGCTTGCATTTGATTAAAACCTACTCAAATTGGCATTTGGAAGGAAGAACAGATTTATGATGTACTTAACGATAAAATTGATAAAATGCAACCAACTTTATTTTTGTCCTCCATTCATTACTGGACAAATTCGCGCAATTATCTACTTAACTTGCAATGACATGCTTAAATTGATTTAACTGCATTGATACACGATCAAGAAATATAGCGCAAATCAGTCCTGTGTTGATGGGGCGATTTTATTGCTTTAGATATATGATTTTTTAAATGATTAAACAGTGGTGTTTTAAAAAAGTTTTTTTTCAGAACGAGGCCCAGAAACTGCTTGAATGTGAGAAGAACTCCAACTAACGAAAACCATCGCCTGAGCGCCCATCTTCCTTCTTAAATAAATGCCTAAAGATGTAACTTAACGTTTTCTAATAAAAAACATTGAAGTTCTTTCACCGTTGTTTATTTATGCTTCGTGCAGTGCTGGTAATGTAATAAATGCAGCAAAGGATGTTTGATAATTAGTCAATAAAAATACTTTCTGGCAGCAGCTAATTGTTGAATTTTAGACCCCTACTTAACTATGAATAATTCATAAGTCAGCTTGAGAAATTTAAAGTGATTATTACATTTTGTTGGGTTTAATGGTTTCTAGAAAAATTGGCTCACTAAAAAGAGTGCATTACTCCTGATGATGCAACGAATTATCACAATAAAAGTGTCTGGTTGACACGAAATCTGCATAAAACTGAGCGAGAAAAAATTCAACGTCCGCCAGTTTTAGGAATTTTGAACGATAATTTCACATGTTCCAACATGTTCTTAGAGAGAAATCTCACACTAATGGCCTCAAGAACGCTTGCAATTACATTCAAAATGTATACGCAACATTTTCTCAATTAGACTGGTTTTTTTTTCAAAGCAGGGAACTAATTTCAAAATGAAATTTCTAGTTAACAGTGGGGTTGCTTGCGGTTTTTGCTCAATTTGGCACGTATAGAAAAAATAAAAATTATCCAAACGGCCTGCGAAAATTAGGTATTTATAGAAAAAATGAAATTATTTTTTTCAGTCAAGTCATGACCCAAGCATATATACATAATTTCCTGAAATAATTGAACGGTGGGCAAATATTTTCCGTGAAAAAAAATTATAATTAAAGGCTCTCTTTTGAATTATCAAAGTAAATAAACAGGCTGTGAAAACGCAGTGATTGGTAAAGCGGTAAAATCAATCAAGGTGAAAGAAAAAAGCCCCGCCTGGTAAACATCAGTAAAAGTGTAATTTAAAATTTTGCATAAACTTTCAAAAAACAACATTGTGATCTGATTCGTCGCTTAACTTTCCTTAATTCCTGTCTTGAAAATGCAACAATTTTCAATTTATGCAAGGGCCAAGAACGGCCAGAAGTAATGGTGATGAAAATGTAGCTTTATCAGTTTGTTTCTTCACGTTTGTATTTTTTTGTATTTGTAACTAGAGTGGCTAAAACTTGTTATAATAAATGAACGATTCACCCTTTAGATCTATTTATTAATTTTATTTGTTTGTTATTGTTAATAAATTATGAGGAGATGAAGTGTCTTCTCTCTAGCTATATAAATTGTATGAACGAAAAATTCAGTTCATCATCATTAATTAAGAACAATGTATAAATAAATTTAAAAAAGTATTCTAAAAGGTTTTCGCTGTTTTATTGTAAGAGCACTCACACACTCTAGGTGAAGATAGAAACTTGAAAGATGCAACAGAAATAGGTCACTAGAACATCTTTATGTTGGAGTGTTGTTAACTTAGAGGATAAAAATGAGGTGGCTGAAGACCAAAGAAGATTGGCCAAACATCTGGTATTTTTGACAAAAAAGCTTGGTTGAAAACATTAAAAAAGAATTGTGCCCCACAGGTAAATGGCAGTTTTGTTGCGCGAGGACATGCGAGACCATACGAGGTCATATTATCTCCCAACTGGGTCTCCAAAGAGGTGAAAACAGTCTGCTATTTACAATCTCTGCAGAGTGCCCCATACTTTAAAACAGATAGAACGGTCGCTGCCGTTTTGTACGCTAAAATGTATTCGAAAAATCTGGTTGTAAGTATATTTGTTGTTATGTGTTAATGGTTAACAAGTGCCGAGTTACACGTGAGTCCGCGCGTTGTTTTAATATTAATTCAGTTACCAGGAATACCGTTAGCAGAATACCTGCTACCTTATAAACTCTTGGCCTGATGATCGCCAGTTTTAAAAATTTGCCCGATAATTTCGCTTAACTTTGATGATGCGCCCAATTACACTGAATCTCCCAACTTTTTTCGCATTCAATCGTCCTTGATGGATTCACTGTGCTTATTGCTTGCTGCCCCTAATTTAGAGCAACGTCTTATGTAAAAGTTATGAATTATTGTGGTGCCACAAGAATCTCCATGCCGGTGAAAGGGTGCCAAAAGAAGGTAGCTATGTTATTAACTTAAATGTCAATAGTTGCATACCTAGAATGTATTTCTTATATATTATTGATTCAAAGAATGCACAATAATCGATTGATCGAAGCAGGTTCATACAGAGAATTGTTTCTCTGTTTCCTGCTTTTGCCACCACCCAAACCAGCCCAAGTTGTTTTTTTTTCAAGTATAAGTACAAAATCACCCTATATTGTTTTGTAAATTGTCTAGCTTTAGTCCTGTTTTTAATGGTATTAGTATCTTAGTTTGAAATGGAGGTCAAAAATAGATAACAAGCGGTAATGAAAAATATTATTACCTAAATAGTACCAAGTAACGTTTTGATATAAACCTGGTAAATGTTGGTCAAATATCGAAAAAAACATGCAAAAATTACTAACATTACAATGACAAAATAAATCCCAGCACTTCTGGAATTCTGGAATTGAAGTTCCTACAAACATGACCAAAACATATATTTAGCAACCCGATGTTATCTTGAAACATGTCTTTGACTGTAAATATTTATTTACCATTTAAAACTCAAACCATGGCAGGTTGTCCATTAAATATAAACAATTAAAGTAGTAAAAATAATTAAAAACTGCTAAATCGCATCGAAAGAATTGGAATGAATTCGTAGTGTAACAATAGAAGGTTCCATGTTAATTTTAATTTGTTCCAGTTGAATCGAATGATCTCATCTAACTGTTCCGTATAAAAAAATCTGATCGAATAACAACAGGCTAATTATTTGATTTAAATATTACGAGGGCTATATCAAAAACGAAATGCCGGAAAAGGGTTTTTAGATCAAAACCACAGCAATGTCTGTGGATTGTTACATAAAAAGGTTTTATAATGTGAAACGCATAACTCGGTATAATTTGCGTTCCGAATCAATCATATCAATAATACTGACCATTGACCGGTTAATGCAGGAAAAATTGTTCCGATAGTCCCGCTGAGCGATAACAACTATTTTGTTGCATCCATATTCAAAAAGACAAGTGTATTGTGTTTAAAGTGTGCTCGTCAAAGGCGAAATAGAACAATTGAATATTTAAAACAATGAAAAATGGTACCGACCTTCCATCCGTCGAGTTGCTAAATAATGTCTTCGCATTATGCAGGTTGTTTCAAGTACCGATCGCAATTCAATCTGATCTAATTTTCGGTTGAAATGCTTTTCAAAAAGTGGGCATTTCCTCTGAAATACGCCAGTGAAATCCATGCAATAGATAATGGTTTCTATGGTACTTTTCGTCCATTGAACTCTTCATAATACATATTGACAAAAGCCCACCTGAACTTAATTCTTCATCGCTCCATTCGTATATTTCGCTAAAATTGAAGGCCACCATATTATAGCAGAAGAGCAGGCTTATGCATAATTCAGTGATGGATGGCATCAAGGATCCGAAAAAGAAACCATCACGTTTCGATTAAAATTATAACAGCAAACTCACAAATAAATAAAATATATTTTAAAACCTTTGAGACACACTGAGAAGAACAAAATCCTAGGACAGTTAATTATAAAGTACTATAAAACGCGAGAGTGATTTAAAGGATTTAACAACTGCTGAAAAAATAATTTTTCCCAGATTGTAAATTGTCACAGTTGAAAGAACTAAGTTGGTAGCGCACTGAAAAACTGTATGGTCTCCATTCCGGAACTTATTCACTTATCTCTTTTCCTTATATTTTTTCACTGCAAAAACTGTAATTACTTTTCGCCAATTTAAGGTAATTGATAATTTCAAAAGTTAAGGCGCTGTTTATGTTTTGCTTAGATTGTTTAAATCGGCTCGACTTGCAAAAAGATAGAAAACGTTGAACAAAAAGTCAGCAACAGAAATGTAGAGATTTCAGTGCTTATTTTAGTTATGGTTGGAAATTCTATACAAAATTAATAAATTACGAAAATGTTTTACATTGGCGGATAAAAAATGGTCTATTTGTGGAGATTTCTAAAAAACTTCATTCATAGTAGGTAGATTGAAATGCCATGAAGTCGACGTGCATATTAATAAGAGTGCTCACGAAATTTTACTTGTGAATATAGTGAGCGTTGGAAATCTGTTGGAAACCCCAATAATTTACCATGATGTTATTAAATATTTAGGAACTATCATCAGAGTTTCTATAGTGATTTGCCTTCGGCAAATAATTGTACAAGGTAGGCTAATATCCCATATAAATAACTTTCTTCTCTCTTCACTTCATTGTACGTTTAGCTGAATACATTCCAATCGATCATTGTTCTTTCCTTTTTACGATATTTTATTCCACTTTTACTTTATATAAAAACTTATATGGTTAGGTGACAATAATACACCTATTAATCATTCAACCGCATTAACAAGCAGCTCGAATGTATCTGTATACATAGACAATATATTTGAAGTTGAATACGAACTGAAGTTCAGTTTTTGCATATATACTAATATTCCTTATTGCTTCTCACGTTTATTTGGCGTGAATTTGGGGACTTTCATTATTATTACAAGTGGTGGTTTTATTGAATGCATTTGAGGACTGATTAACGTAAATTTTGCGAAAGCAATATCACGATAAATGTTATTTTCTACATGAACTTTTCAATCAGAACCATCAACCCAGTTGCGGCTCTTGCATTTTTTCAATTCTACGGATATGTTCTTCAAAACCAGATTCTCTCTCGTCCAACGGCTAAATGACATAAATCATTTCCATAGTTATAAAATATGTTAACTGAATCACAAGTGACTTAACTCTAATTAGAGACCCATTTCATTCTGATATGAATGTATTAGACATTGAAAATAAGATGAACTTTAATGAGCGTACAGAAGATCGTGTGACCTCCTTATCTGAAACTGGATTGGCAAAAATATGCAGCTAGCAGGTCCGCACTTCGGATATTTTTTCTGTATTGATAAAATAGTTAGTTTAAAAGCTGATTTTCAATGTTTCAAATTCACTAAAATGCACCTCTGATTTAAAGCGCCTTTTGGCAAACCAAAGCAAACAATTTGATTAATTACAGTTTCTTGTTTCGATCAAGACTTGGAGGCAGCATTTTTCTGACATTGAAAAACACATTCAAAATATCTTTAAATAGAAAATAGAGATACTTTTGCAATCAAAGTAACAGCAATTAAAACTAATCTTCGCGCCTATATGGATTAATCGTATTATTTATGGGCGGATTCCTTCCAATTGACTTAATTAGCAAATACATTCCAGATTCATTTTTAGTCCAATTGTAGATATTCGCGTCCTTCGTGTATGCTCTTGATTTTATTGGCTTAAAATCTTACATTTGTAAAACTTCGTACCCCAGTTTTCGCTGCCAATTTAATATGATATACCATTTCAATGTGGTTTTGCAAAGAAACACTTCAAGCTGTTTGCAAGTGAACAGTGGTGATTTAAAACCAATTTACAGGTAACAAACTAAAGAATCAAATTAATTTAAGTATAATAAAATAATTCACGCAACATCTGTATATTAGCAGTTGAATCATAAATCATAACTACTCTATGCTGCTATTCATATGTTTCCTTATACAGGGGTCCCATAACTAATGGAAAAAAATTAACAGCGGTGTCCGGTAGTAAAAATAATACGCTAACGAAAACACAAACACCAATAGCTCGCTTTAAAAACGCTCTAAATTTTCTTTGACACAGCCAAGTTCTTCTAAACCAATATTTTCTAAGCAAAAATACCTGGTTGGCATTTCTGAGATCAACAATTTTCGAAAATTTTAAATTAAAGTATTCGGTGCGATACATTTAATCTAATAAGAACGTGCGTAAAAAATAACTTTTTATTTAGATTTTCTACTTTCTAACTAAATTTAAATTTTCTACACAAAGATTTACTTCCTTTTTTGGTTTCGGAAGACAAATCCCTAAGCATAAGGCGTTTTCTGATACTCAAGCAGGATGGAGCCCGAGCTCATTTCTCACTGCAAATGAGGAATCGCTTAAATGAAAATTTTGCGAATCGTTGGATTTTTCGGTGTCGAACACCATGTACGGACTCATAGGCTTAAAATCCGAAGAGAAGTCTAGAGGACTAGACTTTTGTATATGAAGAAGCGATAGATACACGAGACGAATTATTAGTAAAAATTAAAAATGCTGGATATATTTTGAAATAAATATTTTTTAATTTTTTTAATAAACGTACGATTAAGTGTATTGAAGCTATACTATTTTTTTATAAATATTCAAAGTTTCAGTCATTTAACTGCGCGGGTTTGCGAAGTATGAATTTTTATACTCAGGTTTGAGGCTTATATTTGAGTAACCGAAGGTTTGAAAAATTCTAGAAACTAAACAAGTAGTGGGAATTGATTGTAATTTTGTACATTTATTAACTGGAGGTTCTTCTTTAAATAACCATATTTGGAGAATTTTATCTGGGGCGTTTGGCGATTAGTAAATTTTTCGATTCAGGTGTGCACATTTGGGGCTCAAATTTGCGTAACCGAAAACTGGGAAAATTCTAGCAATTGAAGGAGCACTTATAATGAATTTTAGTTTTGTAGATTTATCAACTGGAGATTCTTCTTTAAATATCCAAAATTTTAGGCATATATCTGCGCTCGCTTGCGAAGTGTGTTTCTTTGGGTTCATGCGTGCAAATTTGGGGCTTATGTTTGAGTAACCGAAAGTAAGAAAAATTCCAGAAAATGTTTGAGACCTTGGAATCGATTCAAATTTTGTACAATTATCAATTGGGATTTTTTCTTTACAAATGCAAAAATTCAGATATTTATTCGCTCGGGTTTGCAAATTGTGAAGATTAGATTCAGGTGTGCACATTTGCAACTCCTATTTGAGTAACCAAAATTTTGAAAAATCTGAGAAACTAAATGAGCATTGCAAATTGACGCTAGTTTTCTGAATTTATCAACTGTAGCTTCTTTAAATATTCAAAAATTCAGCCATTTATCTGCGCGGGTTTGCAAAGTGGGAAGTTTTAGATGCAGGCGCACACATTTGAGGCTCATATTTGTGTAACCGGAAGTTTGAAAAATTCTAGAAACTAAACGGGCGCTTGAAATTTAATGCAGTTTTGCGAATATATTGACCGGAGTTTCCTCTTAAAATTTAAAAAAAAATGGAAATTTATCTGGGCGAGTTTGAAAATTATGAAATTCTAGATTCAGACGTGCAATTTTGGAGCTCATATTTGGGTAAACCAAGCCTTGAAAAATTCTATAAATTAAACGAGCCTTTGGAATCGATAGCAGTTTTGTGCTTTTATCAATTGGAGTTTCTCCTTTAAATGTTCAAAGCTTTGGCCAGTTTTCAGATTACATTTGAATATGGTGAATGTTAATGCACAGGCGTCCACTTGGGGGCTCATACTGAATAGCCGAAACTTTGGAAAATCCTAGAAAATCACTAAATCACTGAGAGTTCAAATCGGGTTGAAAGTTTGTCTATTGAGCAACCAGGACGTGGTCTTTAAAAATAAAAAAAATTTAAGAAACGGTTCACTCTTTGAGTTAAAAAAAACAATTTTTTAATGAATTTTAGTGCCAATTCTACTGCAAACAATATCCTTGCTAAAATGCCAAAAAAATCCTTGCTGCTGCCCGAAAAATTCTTTAAAAAAATGATTTTCAACTAATAATATATTTGTTTTGTAGGTCAATGATTGCTGAACAATCCAGAAAATGTCCCAATTATACCAAGACCCATTTGTGACAGTGGTTTCAGTTGGAATAGAGGAAAAAACCCATCAATGCACCCCAAAGAAGGCGTTGAATAATTCGGAATATATTACTGTCCTCACTATCGGTAACGAAGAAGCTAAAACGATCAAAGATGTTACCGAAGAAGTAATCGTTTACAGGCTGCCAGGTGAAAGACTTGGTTTCGGTCTGAAATTTGAGGGTGGAACGAAGGCGCATGAATTCGTTAAAAGATTATTTATACAATCTTGCGCTCCAGATAGTCCAGCTTCTCGTGTTCAAAGTTCCTGGGGGCAGCTGGTGGAGGGCGATGAGGTTCTGGAAATTGACTCCATTGCAGTCAATAACATGACTCGAATTGACTGTGTGAGGTTTCTGAAGGATTCTAACGTCGCCATAAAGCTTCTAGTAAAGCACTGTTTCAACACCGTCAGCTTGAAGCAAAAATCGAAATCTTCCGAAGATCTGCCAGTTATTATTAGCACTGAAGAAAAAAAGCCGCCTCCCGTGCCCCCGAGGAAACTCAATAGAAAACTGCATAAAACCCTGCAAACCAGCAGTGATAATGTTCACGACAATATCATTCCCTCAATAAAACAAGAATCGTTTTCCACCAAATCAGCACGGCTCCAATCGCCAAGGAACAGTTTCAGAAAGAAATACTCTCCTGATGTTGCCAGAAGACTATCTGATGGAAGCCTCGCTCCTCCAGAGGCTGAGATATACCTTGACTTAATATCACAGGAATCTACTCAAAGCTGGAGTGAATCGGATGATACGGGAAGCACCATTTCAACCGTCCTAGACAGGTAAAAGTGAAATTTAATCAGGCAATTTAATTTCACGAAAGTGAATGCTAATCGATAAACGTAGACAATTGATAGGCCAACCAACAATAATATTTTAGTGTTTTTAAATTATTCATAAATGCAAATGCGGAGTGCGATATTTCATACATGGTGTTGTTTTTTAGGTTTGCGTCCTTTCCAACTACCGCAACTTCGAGCTTCGCCGGAAGCCTTCCATCTACACCAACTTCAATTCAGAAACACCTCGATCTTTCTTATAACATTAATGAATTTCCCGACGATGATTTCTTGCCTGCTCTAAGTAAAAAGGGCAGTAGAATTGAAGAAAACAACAACATAATTGAGGGAAGTGATGAAGCGAGGGAGTTTAAAGTATTTCAGCCCATTGACACGTTCCAAGAGGAGCTTGATATCAATCCAATCGTCGAAGCAGCCAAACGGCCAGTAATTATTCCTAGATCTAAAGACAAAATAAATAAGGCTTCTTCAAATGAAAGTACGAGTACTTTGCCAAGATTGGTAGATTTCGTTCCAAAGTCGCCTCAAAGAGAGCTGGACAGTTCGATGGAAACTATTACCAGATTTTTGGACAACGAAAGATTTGACTTTGAGTTCGCCGAACAGGACAACAATCCTGAAAATGATCCTGATTACAACATGGACGGCTACAGTTCCAAATGGATTCTTTCATCACATTTATCAACCATCGGCGAAGACGAGGAAGAACAGAGCGGCCAAGAGTGCTCAAGCAATATGGGGTAAGGCATATTTTAGCCTTTTCAAGTCCCATGCTCTTTACAATTTTTGGCCTTTACATTTTAGAATGTCTTCGATTCTCCGCTTACACACAAAACCCTTATAAATACCTCGGCCTTTGATTACAATTGAAAATTATCTTTAAATATAGACACAGAGCAACTTTAATGATATCCCATTAGAAGGCGACTTGTTGCCCGCATTGCCATTTTCAATCTGCCGCCAACATTTTCACTTCAATTTATTTTTGCCTTACACGAATCGAATTCCATCTAGGTATCTTCGTAAGGCAGAAGTGCAAAATAACAATTTTTAAATCCATACGTTATTTAACCGCTTTCACCTTTAAATTTAATTGATGCGACTTGTCTGTCGTCCGGCTGATTATCTTGAATCTTCTGCTCGAAACACATTTGAATCGATTTTAGAAATGAGCAAATTACGCAGATTCAACGGAGAGATTAAACCAGAAGTATTAATTATTTGATTTAAATATTTTATATTAAGCACCTAACCACCTAAAAGCACCGTTGTATGCAATAATCATATTTCAGTAGATCTAGAAGTTGTATAATGCTAAGGATTATGTTGAAAGGCTTTATTGTAAACTGGCGAGAAAGGTTTTGGCATATGTTGTTTTATTTAAATTGACTTTTTGCAGTGTCCTTCCTGGTCCACCTCGAGTTATGATAGAGTCCAGTGAATTCGGCAATTTAGACGCGAAAAGTCCGCGGAAAGAAAACAGTTTTGTCGCAGTGAAGCCGCCTGAAGGTAAGTCCAACAACAGTTGTAGATTTTCAAGAGAAGTTATTAGATTGACTTAACAGAGTAAAGCGGTGGCAGGAGTTTATCGCAATTCATAATTTTACTAATAACATCAAATATTCTTGTTTGTTAATTATTAAAATTCCTATTCAGAAAAACTTGACTAGGAAGTGCGAAGGTGTTTCACTTTAAAAACATTTACCTGAAGCTCATCGACTAAAAATAAAGGACAGTCATTATTTGTCACATTTTTATTACTTGCCCCGGGCTGACTCAAAACAGTGCATTCATCAATTTATTTTTAATAATATATGTAGATGCATTTAATAATAATAATAATAATAATAATAATAACACTAGACATGAAAACGCACGGAATTTTTAAATGACACTGATAATTCGAGGCCTAATAAGATGATGGTTGGTGCAGCATTAACTTGTAATGGAATATTTTTTCCCATAAACACATAAAACCTTAAGGAAGTCTCATGGCTGTGCAATTAAATGTGAAATTGATTACTAAAATTGACTTGGAGAATTGTAAGTCAGAGCAGTTTATGGCGCAAAAACCCACATACTATCCTTGATTTAATTAACGCAACATGTATTCATCTAATGTTCTGTGTTTGATGAATTTTTACTGTTGCCTTTCGAATAATAATGAAGAATTATCCTTCTGCCATATTTATCTTTTCATTTGTTCTGCCTTCATGCTTTATGATTTTGCGTAATTATTTCTGGGAGTTGATGTGCAAATGAGCGGTTGTGAAATGTGTTTGCATTATATCACCGTTTGTTTTGTGTAGTATTTGGGAGAAAAGCCGCAAAATTGAACAATTTATTCACTATTCCAATAAAAATTAATATGCTTTTTCACGTACAAAGAGCCTTGTCCAAGCTATCGATTATACTGAACAATTGTTAAGAACATTCACCATTATATCTCAGAGCTGCATGTAATGATTCAAACTTGTGGTTTAAATTGTTCGCCATCAATAACAGCGCTCTTCGATAAATAGTTTATGGTTTATGGTTTATGGCACAAAGGCATTAAGAGGTTTTTATAACTTTTTTGAATTTTCTGATTCCACTCGTTTGTTTAAATCAGCAATGGAAAGATTCATCAATAACTTACTTTAACTATAATCTACTCCGCTTTGGTTATTATTAATCGTTGTGCTAGAAAAACTAAAATTTAAATTCATTGTCGTTGCGATGTTCATTTTTCAGGCTTAGAGGTTTTCATTAGCTATTCATGCCTAATTATAGAGCACATAATTTCCTTTAAGGCTTTTCTTTCACCAACATCAGCTTTTTCGTGCTGTATTAGTAAACATGTAAACGTAAAGGCATTCCTGATGAGTTTATACATCAAACTTTCTTGTAAACTGATCGCTCAAAGAAGTAGATATTTATAGGCACAATGTCTGGTGGAAATGGATTTTTCGAAAGAAGAACAATAAATTGAAGAAAGTTTTAAAACTTCCGCTGGTGGAAGCTATGGAAATACAGGAAAGTTAACAGTTATCAGGATATCGCATCCATAAAGTCATAAAAGCGAGATCAATTTCTGCTTTTAATTTTTTTGGGTGGTTTTCATATCTATGTTAATTTTGGGCATTTTTCTATTTGTAGATTGTAAATGTTTCCTTGCTCACTTATCCAAAATTTCTCACTTTGAAAATTAATTATCAATTTAATTTAACTAAAATCATGTTTAGTCGAAATTTAATGTATATTATTCTTCGGCTCATTTTGATTCGGAGTCGAATGAAAAAGAAAAACAGCAGGACTGACATCCAGACTTAGTTGGTGATTTTCGCAATTTTTCATTTTGAAATTTAAAGCGCCTTAAATTTGCAAAATTTCATTGGAAAATTTAAAGGTAGCTCAAGTGACTCATGCCCCAAATGATCTTCTATTTTCATCGCAAGGATGCGACGGTTGCAATGAGTTTATTATATTGAATGCAAGGGCGAATCCAAGGGGGGTCATGAGGGTCATGACCCCCCTTTTTTCTGGGTTTATGTCGACTAACGACAATTTTTCTAATTTTATAGGCAACAAAAGACTAAATTTGTACTACTCAGAAAGCTAGTTAGATCTGCCGCTGCTCAATGTATTTCGCTTTCTGAGTCAAAACTACTGAAATTTCCTCACTCATGTTGTTATGACTCAATGGAATTTTAAATTCTCTATCCAACGATGCCAAAACCCATTCTGTGGCTCAAATGGTTCGTTAGAAATTTCAAAGAAAGCAGCGTCATATTTGAGTCGATTTTGCAACTAAAAAACACGCAAATCTAAAACTTCTTGAAATTAATACTTTATTGGGAAAATTGCCAACATTTCCTTATTGACGGCTCTTCTTCTAGAAAGTCCATTTAGTTCTCTCTCAAATAATGTAACAATGAGCGTTCTTGCTCATTTGAATTCGAGAAATGAGCAAAAACGGGACGAAAAACATGAAATTTTGGTATAATCTTGCATGTTCAAATTTCGCTTTCTGGGTCAAAACTACTCAAATTTCCTCACTCATGTTGTTATGACTCAATGGAATTCTCAATTCTGTATCCAACGATGCTAAAACGAATTCTGTAGCTCAAAGGGTTCGTTAGAAATTTCGAAAAAAGCAGCGTCATATTTGAGTCGATTTTGCAACTAAAAAAACACGCAAATCTAAAACTTCTTGAAATCAATACTTTTTTGAGAAAAATGCCAACATTTCCTTATTGACCTTCACCTTCTAGAAAGTCCATTTAGTTCTCTCTCAAATAATGTAAAAATGAGCGTTCTTGCTCATTTGAATTCGAGAAATGAACAAAAACGGGACGAAAAACATGAAATTTTGGTATAATCTTGCACGTTCAAATTTCGGTTTCTGGGTCAAAACTACTCGAATTTCCTCACTGCTGTTGTTATAACTGAATCGAACTTTCAATTCTCTATCTAACTCTGTGGCTCCAATGGTTTTGGAGAAACTTCTAAAAAAGCAGCGTCATGTCTCGAAATCAAGACTTTTTTGAGAAAACTGCCAACATTTTCTTATCGATGGTTCACTTCGATGAACGTAATTTATACGAATACGAATAAATTAAATACGAATTTTTCTATATGGTATTGAGGAGCTCCTACATCGAGAGTATTGAGCGTTTTTAATATAAAAAATCAAAACGTATTTGTATGGTCTGTTGTAAAAACAATGAATGTCGTATACAGTAAATTGATGACCCCGTTTTTGAATAATGCTTTTGCAGATTTACAATATTTCGATACACTCCATAACAAAAATAGAGGATTTCGCATGACAGTAGGTGATAATGCGAAACAGCTATGACGTGTATGGGCATGTTAATTGATGATTCAATAATTCGTAACGTGTACAGAAACATTTGCTTAAACTTGTGGTATTTAGTTACAGTAATTTTGGCTGACACCTTGGAATAACCATGTACATGTGGTGGTACTGGAAATATTTGCTATTGCGAATTTTTGACTCATTGGCATATTAAAAGGCTTGTTATATTAGAAATCGTACAGTTTACACATTTAACGGAATTTGCCTTACGAAGCGCCTTTTCAATTACCTTTATCGACCAAGTGTCAATCAAGAACGTGCTGAATTTTTATAAACCGATTTTGGTTCTTTTAGCATCTGAACTGACCCGTTAGTTCATTAGCACCAATCACTGAATTCGTGTTCCACGGGCTACATGCTTACAATGCGATCATTTTGATTTGCAAATTTATGCTCAGGTGTTAAAATGTACATTGCCTGAGGAATTCGTCTGATTTCCTGTTTTGCCACCAACTTGCTTATTCTGCAGTCAAATGCGCTGTTTTTGGAATAGTCAATATTGAATCGCACCTTACGCTTCATTTTGTTGATCTTTCAAAAATACTTCAGAGTTCATCGGTCCTGTTCCCTGAATTCTATTTGCCTTATGACTCTTAATTAAAGAGGTGCTAACCGTTTTCCACTTAGCCACTATTTATATTTACTTATGAATATATTTTTTAAAGGTTGTAATGAAAACAATTGAGGCATATTCATCAATACATTACACAAATTCCATTCAAGACTACACACACTTGAACTATGTACACAATACAGTAAAAAAAATATTTCTCCTCTGTACCAAAGTGTAAAGTGCGGCTCAACCTGGATGTAGAACAGTTTTCAACAGAAGTCAAATTTTGCTATAAGCGTTAAAATTTTTCGATATCGGGGAAAACCAGCATAGGTACTAGTGAATTTTTTTGGTGTTCCACAGCGGTCAAAAATCCCAAAAAACTAAACAGTTTCAAACTTAAAACTGTTTCTCTAATTTAACTTCCCCTTTAGAAACCATTGGTATATAATAGATAGGTGCGAAGCACACTAATACAAGAAAAACATTTTTGAACGTTTTCCAAATGTATCTGCAATGCACCCGATGGCCATAAAAGCTGACTCTGTACAAACACGAAGTTGAAAACATCTCTACACGGTGTCAATAACTGCTGCATATGGCTCTATGAATATCCATATGTAAAAATAGTTTAATGCGGCATTTCACAGTTTGATCAAGCCTTAAACCGGATGCGTTAATTAGTTCACTTAAAAGCATTGAGTCGTAATTGAACTACTATATGTAGTGTACTCGTTTTCAAAAAGACGTCAACATAGTTAGGGGGCTTCCCCACTTGTCCTAAAATTGTAAATTTGAGATAAAAGATCACTTGAACATCGGCTTCGTAAAAAGGCAATTGAAAAACGAGCATTTTGAAGTTTGTTTTCATGTCAAGTGAGCATTTATAAGTCGGCGTGTTCAAATTGGTCGAAGTGTTTCGGTTCTACTTCAAGTTACCTACATAAGATGGTAAATAATAATGAACGGTATCTTCTAGGAAACATAAAGTATTTCACAGGTTTAATTATCTTCAACTTATTAACAGATTAACACACCTCTCTCATAAAAAGCAAGATGGATTAATACAAGTCCGACATATGTAGTAGATTAGCTTATTATACAAAGAATATCAATCAGTCAAATAATTTTAACTAATATTTTAAACAGTCTTAATAGTCTTGGTTCGTTAATTTTTCAAATGTCGCATGCTATTTGTTAAATCATCAAAATCAATATTAATAATGTCCCAACTCAATTCCTGTGATGTAGTTTTTACGAGTTCGCGCCGTTTTGAAACGTTGTTATTTATTGGTTTGAGCAATAAAAAAGCGATTATTAATTGAAATAGAATAAATTTGCCTGAAATTTATATTGAACTACGCAGTTTTCAGATGGCTTCAAAAGGACATGGAACTTTGATAATATTCGTAATGTTTTTGGCAACACAGGTGACAGACTGAAAAATTTTAACAAGTATGAATTATTATTGATGGCAATAGAAAAATCGGGATAATTCCTTATTAATAATTCGTTGAAATTTATCTAAACTATTTTACAGTTAATATTACATTGATTGGTTGACGTAAATCAAGTTTCGCAATAATCAGGGTTATCAGGAGTTCCAGCGACAGTTTTAATACGGTCTATTTAAATTAATAAATCCGGCAGCTTTGTATCTCACCGATCGTATAAAACTGATTTACGACGAGACAAACATACTAATTAAGAACGAAATGTTATTATTTCAAATATGGAAATTTATTGTCGAGTATAGTTTCGCCTCCTTGATCTCTCTAATCAATCTCGAATGTACTCAAAGTATCACAAAGTAAGTATTGGGAAAAATGCTTATTTTCGCTTAGAAGTGTTTTTTTTCGGGTTTGGAAGGCGATGTTAGATACGCCCCTGTGCCGTGCAGCTTGTCCGTTGGCCCTTTATTACCACCTGCTATTAAAAAAAAAGACAAGTGTTTATCAGGACATGTGCTTTATAGCAATCTGCTTCAGTTTAAATCCTACCTGTTGGCATTTCTTGCCCAAGATTCCACAAACTACATTCCTGCAAAATGGTGCAAATTTGTCTGAGTTCTCATGGATTTTTCTACTTCAATTGAAGCAATTTTGCGTGTATTCGCGTTTGAGGAGTGTGGAACGAGTTGGTGTTAATGGTTAATGAAGTCAGTGGGTTGATTTGAGTAATCCATTGTTATGTGGTGATATGGTGAGGTTTTATGAGCTATAAAAAGTAAGTAGGTATTGGGCAAGATTGGCGGAAATTCTGTTTCCATTGGTTGGAGCTTGTGCAGCAGCTTCAGCAGGAGCAATCGTGATCGACAAGCCACTCCGCAGACCAGAGCTAGGTGCCCTTGACTCGCATCGTCCAGTGACCTGCGATGCTTGCCATTTCTTTCTTCCTTAAGAGCTCGCTACGTTCCTGCTTTTGCACGCCATCCGAAAACTATATCGTCAATCAAATTAAATCGAACCCGGTACTGTTTCGTTAATAACGCATCGTTAATTTATTTTAGGCAGACCAAGCAACGTGGAAAAGAAAAGAAGAAAAGACCGCTGCGGGAATAGAATAAGCCACGAATGTAGTTCTACTCCGGTGTTTGTCTCGACCAGCAATCAAATCGCCGTGAAATGATTTAGTTACTTGAGTTGATCATTGCTCGAGACAATGCAACAATAATATTTGCGATCGCCGATCAATTTTATCAATTTTTCTTCAAATCGGTTCGGTTTGCGCTACGCGGTCTACCCGGTTCGGTCCTGCTAGTCTTCACTGAGTTCCTAATTCCTGTTTGTTTGTGATATACAAGTTTTGTTGCTTGTTCTTCAAAGTGATATTTGCCAATAATTAGGGTAAGCTTTTTGCATTTTTACCAATTTACTAGCTTTCTACCTCATTTAGCTTTTTTAATTCAAAATGAATTTGAGAACGCGGAAATTTATCCGAAAGATATCTCGACTTGGTTTGAAGATTTTTTAAATATTAATTGAATTTGAAACGGTTTTTTCAATTTTAAATAAACTTCTCATATTTTTCTGAAAAATTTCCGCAAAACGTGAATGCATTTCAAATTTCCTAACTGAGGCAAAGCTACAAAGTCTAACTCAAGGAAACAAGCGTTTCAATTAATAAACGATTGTAAGCCTTATCAGGTTAGTTGGGGCCGAATAAGCCCATTAAGCATTAAGTTATTTAACTTGATTTTACCATACCATAATTGCATTTTAATTGCTAGATATCAAATTTATTCATATTTTCTATATTACGTATCTAACATGGTTTGCAATGTGGATTTAATCATTTGCAAAAAGTGTTACATTACTTTTATTTAGTGATTAGAGCGGCGTTATAAATCTTTAAACCCCGGTCCAACCCAAGTTTAGTAAGTCGGGGTTTAACCTGATTTAGGATTTAATCGGTATCGAGATTTTATAAAATTGTCTAATCCCCATAAGTAACTAACAAAAGGCAATTTACTGCAATGACGAATGTAGGATTGGCCTGAAATATTTCACCCCAAACATTTTTTAGTCAAACTCAATGGAACCACTAATTTTAAACTAACATAGTCAAGAGACCAAATGTCTACTAAATATGAGTAATTCATCAATTATTTACGAGTCCGATAAGCGTCCTCATGACAATATTTGTAACCGTATTCTATGAAAAAATACTTAAACTTTCATGACATACCGGGAATTTATGGGCCCCCTCTGATTTATGGGCAAGTATTGTACTTTATTGACTGAACGGTCATTTACAAGTCGCAAACTCAAAAACTTATTTCAACAGGTCTAATTTACAGCTCAACACCTCTACCATACAGTGCGAGTCCTTAACTTTAATTCAATAAATCAAAATCAAAAATAAAAAAAGCCTGCCTTTTTTTATCGCCTCGAAGACGTCCATTGGTATTTTACATTGGGCTCCTTTTTATGAATAAAAAAGTTTATACAGCGTGACCCCAAATTTCAGGTATCGTGTCTGCTGCTATTTTTTTAAGTGACAATTCTTTTAAAATGTATATTAAAAGTGATAATGTCTCTTCAATAAATGCTGAAAATGTCGTCCATTAATCAACTGGCAACATCCCAAACGGAACTGAAACTCGCTTTGGGCATTTCTAATTACGGCGGAAATTGGCCTACACTTCTGTCGTATTCGTTCTTGCAAATCCTCAGTGTTTTCCGGCGTGGTCTTAAAAAATTGCTTGATCAATGCTCCCAAAAAACTGTCCATGAGTGTTAAATCCGGAAACCTGGGAGGCCATTTAACGGGCCAGCTTCTACCAATGCATCGCCTGTATTGTTGAAACCAGATTTATTATTGGGGACTTCAGTTTTTGCCGGATCAGAAAACAGACTAGAGAAATTCGGAACTAGTCCTGCCTTCAAGGATTCTAATGATCCGGCTCCATTGAGATTTGAGGAAAATCTTTCTAAACACTCGCTAGAATTTACTTTTTCTGGATATTCTGTGTGGTTTTCCCGCATCCAGTGACGCCTTTGGTATCTCCAATAACGAACATGTTGATGTTGATTCGTCAGAAAGTAGTACGGTTCCTATGTTTCGAACATTTCTATCTAGCAGACTCATCATTTGTTCGCGCAAAACTGCAGAATCTGAAGCAACTTCTGGGGGTCTTGGAGGGTTTTTATTTTTCGATGAAATTTTGGGTTTCAAGAATATTATCGGCTCAGAAAACTGGGTATTTCGATTTGCCTAATGGGGACATGAGGATTTTCTTGAACAGAAAGAAGTACAGGGTGTCCCAACGATAGAGTAAAGTAAGTTTGCTCTTAACCGGAATTATTTGTTTCCAATTTGGTGGTTTAGTAATGTTGTAGCGCAGAAAACAACTTTTTTCTGTCGATTTTGGAATTTTCTCGCAATTTATATAAAATTGGAATAGCCGGTATTTAAATACTTTGCAAAAGAAATATTAATATTGTATTAGTTTTTTTCGGCCAATTTTCAAAGTTTTGCCTCTAAAGACAACGGATAAATTTCCGATCAATACCATGAAAATGCGAATTTTCATAGTGAAAGCCGAATAACTAAAAAACTGCCCAATTTTCTTTCACATTTTTTATATCAAAGGGCCATTGAAATTTAGCGAAGAGTTTGAAAATGAAATAAAATATAGGGTGTTCCAAGTCGTTTCTACGCTGTCGCAACTTTTCGCAAACCATCTGTATAAATGTGAATAATTTAAAAACATGTGTGGAAATTTTGCAAAGTTTTTAATCTTAAGTTAGATATGAGCACTGCATTAAAAAAATACCATTGCTTAAAACCATGCCGCTATAAAATGTTATCAGATTTCCTAATTAAGTACAGACACACTAAGTCTATAACATATATCATTGACGTATTTGATTGGGTGCAATATTTGTTGTCAGAGGCTTATTAGATTCCACATGTTGCAGTTTGGAAAATGATTATTCTGAATGTGGCGAAAGAGTTGCGATGGTGTACAAACAAGTCGAAAACATCCAATTTTCTAATTGTGCAAATAACGAAAAATATAAACCTCGAATAGGAAGGAAACCGGTGTTTGAACAAGACACTGGTCAGGCCACAAAAATCACATCTGCCTTCGGAGAATCGTGTTAGATAATCTGTAACCCAGTTTATGAAATGTTTGCAGCTGAAGATAAAAGCCTAATAGCAATGATAATCGAAACTATCAAAGTTGAAAGCAAGGTCTGTTTAGAATTGAAAATATTTAACGCAGCAGGTACAAAATGGCAAAACAAGAACAAAGAACTATAATGTCAAACATTGACAAGACTGCTTGTGGTGTGAAAGTCCTTCGAAATTGCCTGCAGATTTGCAGGAATTATAAAATTAGCTAAAGGATCTATAAATATCTTGAAATTTGTAGCCATATGTACGAGCCGTGTACTAGCAACTAGCTTTTAAGGGCATGGAATGCGCTTTAAAAACTGTCCAAGGCGGGATATCGGTAACGAAAATTTCACGAACATCTGCAACGCAAACTTTGCACATAGAAGTCGTGGTACAACGCCCACATTGGGTAAAATGTGAAACAAAATATATTGTTGAAGGTGATCAACTGATTTTGCAAATGTTAAGTCTCTTAATTGCTCAAAACTAGATTTCATTTTCTGCATTTTAGTCCTTGCCTTCGCAATCCGAACTTGTTTATTTATACAATTTGATATTAATTCAAATGAACCAGAATTAGTAGAAGAAAATCTTGAAATACCCACCACATGTAAATTTCAATACCTAATTACGCATTAGGCGCGCATAAAATAGTTTTTGTGATTAATTGCACGGTATTTGAAAGGAATTACCTCAGGATCAGAAAATAATGGATTTCTGCACATGTAGATACATATATTTCTTTACACGGTAGATACGTATTTTTATGGTTGTCACGTTAATATCAGGCAAAATATTTGCATGAATATTTTCAAAATTTAAATAAACAAACCCAACGGAACCCATAATTGAATTGCAATATTTGAATACATGCAAGCGTTTTTGTCGCGTATTTATTAAAACAGTTCAGGAGTGTTGAATGTTAATTTGAAACTACCTTAAAAACCGCGTTTTGAAATACTGACATTCCTTGCAGTCTGCGGAATTTCTAATTACTCGATAAAAACTACGATTTTAGTTCGTTTTATTAGGAAACTTACATTAACAGAACCATGTGCAAACATTGTATCCTTAGTTTATGATTAGCGACACATTAGTTTGAAGTTATTGGCCACATTTCAGATAACACGCGGCGATAACAAACTCTTTATAAATCAGTACATGTAGAGTATATTATTTTAAATGTAGGTGAAAATTATCGAATATGAAGTGCAACTTTATCAAAGTCAATATTTGCCTTTAGTTTTCGACTTTGCCAAACGAGGTAACAGAAAAGGTCAGACTAAAATCTTTTAAAATATGAAAAAATACAGATGATCAATAAATAAACCAAAAGTTCCAAAGGATTTAAAAATAATCAGCAATTATTAACATTTAAAAGCAATATCTAGTTAACAACCGTCATATCTAAAAATATGTCTACAATAAGTAAATCAACTTCACAGAATAGCTATTGTTTGGTTGGAATTTGTGTTCCTTTTAACGCCAAAAAGAAAGCATATAATCACGACTTTTAAAACCTAATCTGTTATTTACGGTATTAACAGCGAGGGGTACCTCACGAATTGCGACCCCAAACCAACAAGAAAATTTCACAATTTCATTCCTACTTTCGATTTAGAAATGTGAAATTATCTGTTGGTTGAAAACAGATCACATCTTGACCGTAACATTGTTGGCATTATGAATAATTAACTATTATATATACAGCATGTCCAGCTTGCCGAGGTGTCAGCTAAATATGCACTACAGTATTTATGGGAGTATTTTCAAGATAAATATGTTGTCTAAAAGCTACAGTCTATTGGTCAGATAGTGCCTTTTTATGTTGGTGATTTTCTAGAGAGGTGTTTGTTGTGGAAAAGAGAGTGCGTTGAAAGCACCGCTAATCTTTCAAACTTGTGTCTTGTGCATTCCTGAATTTGTTTTGTCTTTTAATAATTTTGCCTTCTGAAATAAACTCATTTTGCTTGTCCACTGAATATACCTAAACATTTCATAATCCAGATCTATAACTGATAAATATTGCTGCCATTTAATTATCATATCTTAAATAGGATTTTGAAAGTGAATAAGCAGGCATTGAGATACAATTGGTGCATATTAGCATGCGTTGCACTAAGAATGGTACCAGAAACAATGGCAATAATGAACAATTACTCTACTATAACTGTGAACTTCGATTGAAATGATTAGGCAAACTCAAATGGCAGAACCGCTG